TCTTATCAATCTTTTTGTCGATAATTTATTAAATGATAATATTTAAAATGAATTATAAATATGAAATAAAAAAAAAGAAAAAAAATTTCTTGAAAAAAATTTGCAAATAAAACTGGCTAAAATTTATATATATATATTGGTATGAATAAATTATGTTAACGTATCTAAGATTATGTATTTTAAAATTTATTAATATCATTCAATATATGTGATAAATATATATGAATATATTCTTTTATATTTATTATAAATATATTATAATAAATAAATTATATAAAAAGTTATTTTAAACTATTATTAAAACTATTTCTAATTATTTTACCCAGTTTTTATTTGCAATTGAAAAAAAGGTAAATAAATAAAAGAATCATAAAAAATTTCTTTTTCAAAAAAATATTCATCCATACTATAGTATGTGTTGATATCTCTGGTGCAAATTTACATAGAAAAAAAAAAATCTTAAATATTAAAAATTCTCTCAAATTATTTTTTAAATAAGTTAAAACACAATTTATATATCCGTAAAAAGAAATACAAGAACTCTCCTTTTCTATTATTAAGTATTTACATCTATTAATAATTAAAATTTAAAAATTTACAATAACAAATAACATTTGAAAAAATAAAAATTTTTAAAACTTAACTATATTACAATAAAAAATATATAAATCGTTTATGTTAAATATTTTTTTCTTTTTTCGTTTTAGAAATATTATAAAATAAAGAAAAAATAAATAAAATTAATAAATAAAATAAATAAAATATTTATAAAACAAATATCACGTGTCAGATTGAATAAGAGAGAAAAAATATTTATTATTATAACAAATTGTTAATGGAAACATTATTTATTTTGACTCCATTGCGAAAAAGCTTTGTTGAGTATCGAAAATATATTGTAAATACGTATTAACAATCGCTTCCGTAAAACATTGGGCATCATTATATTCCCAAATTCGTGTACATATCGCAAAATTTTTCATTTTAATTTTATTTAATGATATCAAATGACCGATTACCATATTTTATATCTATTAAGATTTATAAAATGGTGTTACACAAAATTTTATGCGTGTGCATGTAGCTATACAAAATTTTAAGAGCATTACATTATGATCGACATTATATTATGAAATAATGATTTAACTATCTTTGGAAAAATATGACATATATATATATATATATATATATATATGTATAAAAGATAAAGTAATATTATGCCCGGTAACAAGAACACGTTACTTGGGATTTAAATTTTGTCCAAAGATCCAAAAAGATAATTGTTATTAAGTAACTATGAGATGAAAGATCGAAGAAATGGTACCTGATATGTCCTGAAAACTTTATTTTGATATTCAAATATAATTGAGCAAACTTGTACTTTATACATATTAAAGTTTGATATAATCCAAAGTCATTGATATTAAAATGATTAAAAAATATTAGAAAAATGAATAATAAACACATTTAAAAATCATAAAATAATTCGAAAATTTTTTGGGCAATATTTAAATACAGTACAATATATATTTATAAACTTTAATAAATAAAAATAATATAATTTTTTTAACTTGTGAAATTGATATGTAAAACATTATGATAAAATAACATGAAAAATCTTTGGACCTTTAGAAATTATCCCTTTTAATAACGCTATTTATTATTTATTTACTATGCATCAGACGATCCATGAATGTTTATTAAATAACTTCATATATACAAATTTATATAGAAACAAATTAAAGCAAAATTGTAAATGGTATGCGTTATTTCATTAAATGTATTGTTTTAAACTATCATTTAATATACATCTATCAATGTAAGAACACAATTTTATTAAGACAGTATGTCTTATGTTTTATATTAAACTAAATTGGACTAAATTATTTCATAATAATAAATCCGTTTGATAGAAAGAATTAAATGCCATCTATCACGAATTATAATATATAGCTATACTATAAGCAGTTGGAAAGATTTCGATTTTCTTTTTAATAAAGAAAAAATTTGTAAAGTTAATCAATTTGAAATATATTCTTATTAGCGAAAAGAAAACTAATTTATAGTCACTATTTTTAATAAATACCATTATTTTTAGATGATAAAATCAATAGGATAAATTTCAAATAAAATTTAAATATATAAGGAAAGATGTAAGAAACAATAGAATTCTTCTATATGAAATGTTTATAACGAAAAATGTATTAAAAAAAAGAAAAACGATATTAGTATTGAGATTACGAATCTTACATGTATGAATTATTTTTGTTTTCTTTACATTCAATGTTAATTTAATATTATATTAACAATTGCTGTATTGTTCATATCATTATGTGACCACTTTATATAACCTAACAATACTTTATACAAGTTTTTATAATACAAATATATTACGCGACAATTCAGTTTATATACCACATAACATTATACTTTTAGTGTTACATCTTTCATGGATTAAACCTTTCCTTATACAAGGCAATGATTTTATTCATATGTAATGTCATTGATAAAAGAATCTATTTGCTTTTAAATTTAAAAAATTTTTTTTTCCATTGTGATATTGGGAAAATAGAAATCTACACACTTATGCACCTCCATCAACAAGCATACTTCACACCTATTCACTTTGAAGGTATTAACCTCGAGGTATCCTCGTGATTCTGGTACTTTGGTTTTCCATGAGTGAACGGCAGGTATCTGTATTTGATCATATGCTGCAAATAAATTTCAAAATACATATTTTAATAAATTTTCTTACATATTATTTTTTCTTAATAATTTATCAATAATCAATTTTATAATATATATATTATAATATTATAAATTTAATTAATTTATATAAAAAAATGAATTTAAAATAACACAAAAAAAATCAAATTATAATATACAATTTTACCTTTATTTGACGCTTCATAGTAATGCAAAATAATGTTATGAAATACATAACAAGTATGGGCCAAAATACTGGTACATTGAAGCAATCAAACATAGTACATATCATAGCAATAACTGTAGATTTCATCACAGAATACCAGAATTTAAATTCAGGTAACCTTCTAATAAATGGCCTAAATTCTTCATTAGATCTTGTAGGTAACTCTGGTCCTTCACCATCTATTAAAAAATTTCTGTTAAAAATTTGTTGTAAAAATAAAAATTAAAATTGTTTTAAATATTAAAATTACATAAAATTATAATCACTATATGAAATTTTGAAGCATTATAATTTAATCTTATAATATTATTAATAAATAGTAATTTCCATAAATACTATTTATAAACACTCACCATCAAAATCCATTGCAGGATCAATTTTAGGAGTAAGGAATGCTATGAATAAATTTAGATGATAAATTGCTAATGCATATGTG